AATCTCATGAGTCCCATCCCCCGGCTCTGAACTTCAAGTATCCATCTAAACTTCTTTGAAAATCATTTATACTTCCACCATGTGTGTGTGAGCAGTAAATTACAGGTCATCATATCCCCTCTGCATCTCTTGCACAGAACCTTATATCTGTGTCCCCTAATCCTTGTAGTATCAGCTAGTGGAAGTTGCTTTCCTTGTCCACCTTATCCAAACCTGTTATAGTCTTATGCACCTCCATCAAAGCCCCTCTCAAAGCCCTTTGCTTCAACAAGAACAACTGTAGCTTCGTCAACCAACCTCAGCTTAAGTCTCTCATTCTTCCCTACTATATCCTGGCAACTTTGGGTCCCTCGAACTTGAGGGGTTGGAAGTGAGGATTGTAGCAAGGGAATGTCAATGTGCGAGATAGAGACTTTATTGAGGATGAGCATTGACAATTGCTGACTGTTGCACGAATCAGTGGCTGTAAAAATGTAGTGAACAGAGAGCCATAGGTTAGATAATTAAGAATTTGAACATGAAATTATAGGTGAATTGTGGAACTTTATTATTTCAGACACTGGTGAAGAAGGAGGTAAGAGTTCTATCATGGAAGGGTGATGAGGGTGCTGAGTAATACAAGGAAATGATCTGAGGTAACCTGCAGAGAGATTTCACAGAATGGGAAATGAGGTGTGAAGCGTGAAGGAGTTGGGCAGAATGTGAAATTTCAATTTCCTGATGGAAGGCTGAAAGATAGATGCTGAACATTTTGCTGTTTCGGCCATGAGCCCATCATTATATTTCCACTCTTTGCAGCATATCGAACCTCACACCGGTCTGTGGTAGGTTCGTATTAGTGATACATCTGGGTAAAATTTTTCTTTAATGAATTCAGCGGTGCACAGGAAACTTATTATGAAAACTCACTATGGTTTAGTCCACATTTGTTTAAAGGTAAAATGCACCAGTCAGTTTCTTGCAGTTGAGCCTGTGGTTTTCCTTCTTGAACTCTGAGGTACAAGGGAGAGGAGTTGGACGATGTCTGCTTGCATGGAGGCTCAAGGTAGACAATGGTGGGTCATTGATGGGTAGATTCAGTGAATATGGAGTGGTTGGGATGTGGAGAACTGGTTGAGGGATCCAAGAGAGCACAAAGGGTGGGTCAGAAACATGCAATAGTGAAGTGGCTGAGTGTCTTGACTGTGGAGGGGATAGTCATGGTAATAAAATAATAGGGGCTAAAGACTCTCCATGCATGTGTTCATCTCAGGATATGAGCTGGTAGAGCTTTGAGTGCATTTATTTATTTATTCATTCCTTCTGAGAACGATCTTGGATAATGTCCTGTACAATGTGTAGAAAGGATGGACAATTGAGCCTATAAAATTCAGCTATGTCCTTCAGAGTGACAAGTACACTGTCAGACACTAACATCAATAAAAAGTGAAAAAATGAAACACAACATTGTTTCTTCAACAATAAAAGAGAAAATTCTGTCTGCACTGTACCATCAATGTATACCAACCATGGACTGTGCCAGTATAATGTAACTCTTGAAGTTAGTCTCAACAAATGGTGATGTACACATGAAGAAGTAAAATCAATGTAATGTGAATTATTTATATGTAGAATTTAACTTTGAAAAACCACCTTTGTGCCCTCAGTAAGGTTATGTTCATGGCAATGAAATTGGGCAGCAAAGTCTCTCGTTTGATCAAAGTCTCTTTAAAAGCCTCTGCGTATCACCATTGAGTAACATAACCCCTGCCACCGAATCACAGGGTTTCCTATACAAGCTACTGACATTTTACATTTTACTTGTAAGAACGTGGGAAAGTGGTAAAAGCCAGATAAAGGAAGGGGCACACACTTCCTGTTCCACCATCGGGAGTGATGCACTTCTGCCAAAATTGCACCCTTTATTTGAAATTAATACATTGAGACCAGCAACACTTTGAACTGGAGCAAGTGAGGCACTGGCTAAGGATCAGGACAGGGCTTATATGGAGGGACAGTTTCAGGAAGGACAAAAAGACAGTAAACCCAGAGGAGAGAACATGAGGGAGGATAAAATCACCAAGATTGACAAGTCTTTCAGTGTGGAGTCTGATAATGGAAAGCTGAGGAGATATGTTGGTTTGAAAGTTTTGAATATATTTGAGAGAGCAGTACAGAACAATTACGTTGAAAGATGTAAAAAGCTAGAAAAAGGTGCAAATCTCAAAGGACTAGAAAGTGCCAGAGGAGTAGATGGTTAGGTTAAGGTCTGATCTGGTGATAAGTGCCACACCACTACCATAGGGGTGAGTAATGGAGATTTAATTTGGGGAGACTTTCCTTTACCCTTTAACCAGGTTTTTGTTATTGCTGTGATCCCTTAAAATTCATGGATGACAAAGGGCTCATTTGGAAGTGAATGGACACCGTGGATGAAAAAATGTCATGGGGAAGTGAGAACTAATCTGCTGTCACAGTTCAAACGGTCAGCAATAGGAGTAGTAAGTTGGATGGCAAAGGAGATGCAGGCTCAAGGTGGTCATAAGAGAGTAGGTTGGAATAAATGGGGTGACTATTCATAATGAGCCAGCAGTGAGTGCTTAATGAGCCTAATGAAGAATGCAAAGCAAGGCACCAAGGAGGCTGTAGGCTTGTCAAACATGACAAGGCAGCAAGGGAGCAGGAAGACTGAAGAGAATTGCAAGACTGGGGTCCAGAATTGGGAGGGTTTAATAACTGACAATGGAGAAGTGGGAAGAAACATACCTAACAAATTTGATGTAGTTAATATGGATTTGAGCAAAGCCTTTGACAAGGTCCCACATTAAAGATCGATAAAGAAAATAAAAATACATGGAATCCAGGGTAACCTAGTAAGTTGGATCCAAAATTGGCTGAGATTGGGCAGGAAAGTCTCTCGTTTGACCAAAGGCTCTTTAATAGCCAGTGGGTATCACCACCGAGAAATATATCCCCTGCCAAAGAATCACAGGTTTTCCTATACAAGCTATGCAAGTGGGAGACAGATTGTGGTAGTATATAGCTGTTTGTATGACTGGAGGCTGGTGTGCAGTGGTGTACCACAGGGAACAGCACTGGGTTTCTCATTGTTTATTATATAAATATAATGGTGAGATTGTGGGCAGTATGATAAGTAAGTTTGTGGATTCACAAAGATTGGTTGACAGTGATAAAGAAGGTCTTTGTATACAGGAGGATATAAACTGCAGATGGGCAGATCGAATTATTCATGATGGTTGTGAGGCCCTTGGAAAGAGTATAAAGTCAAGGAAGTACTCAATGAAAGGCAAGACATTAGGAAGCTCAGAGGAACAGGGAGCTTGGGGTAAAAACAAAAGAACTGTGGATGCTGTAAATCAGGAACAAAAACAAAGTTGCTGGAAAAGCTCAGCAGGTCTGGCAGCATATGTGAAGGAGAAAACAGAATTAATGTTTTGGGTCCGGTGACCCTTCCTCAGAACTCAGAGCCTGGCGTGCATATCCACAGATCCCTGAAGGCAGGAGGACAGTTTAATAGGATTAATTTAGAAGGCATGCAGTACTAGCTTTATCGCTATGGCATAGTTTATAAGAGCAAGGAGGTCATGTTGGAGCAGTACAGAACTTCGGTTAGGTGACAGCTAGAGTACTGTGTGCAGTTCTGATCACCACATTATAGGAAGGATATAATTGCACTGGAGGGGGTGCAGAACACATTCACTAGGATGTTGCCTGGGATGAAGATTTTAGCTGTGAAGAGAGGCTGGATAGGCTCACGTTGTTTTCTTTAGGGCAGAGAAAGCTGAGAGTGGATCTTATTGAGGTGTATAAGATTATGAGGGCCATGGACTGGATGGACTTCCTGGAAGACTGGTTTTGGAGTTGGAGCAGTAGCTGTAGACACTGTGGGGCGCCTGTGAAGCTGAGAGACCGCTGAATGCATGGACAGAGAGGTGGCCACACTACAGGCTAAGAATCCACAAGTCAAAAGGGAATGGGTGACCACCAGGCAGAGTAAGAAGACGAGGTAGGCAGATCGAGGAGCCCTTGTGGCCAATCCCCTGAAAAATAGATATTTTGAATACTGTTAGGGGAGAAATGGTCTCTCAAGGGAAAACAGTAACAGCCAAATATGTTGCACACAGTTTGCTCTGTTGCATGGGAGAGGAGGAGGAAATGTGGAATGCAATGGTTTAGGGGATTCAATTGTAATGGGAATAGATAGCCATTTCTGTGGCCACAAATGAGAGTCCAGAATGGTATGTTGCCTCCATGGTGTCAAGAACATCTCAGTGTGGTTACAGGGCATCTGGAGAGGGTGGTGAACAACCAACAGTCACGTTACACATCTATACCAATGACAAAGGTGAAACAAAAACAAGGTACTAAAAGCCAAATACAGGGAGTTTGGAAATAAATTGAAAATTAGGACTTCAAATTTAGTAATCTTGAGATTACTATCAGTACCACATGCTAGTAAGAGCAGAAATATCAATTGAATATGTGGTTGGAAATATGAGGAGTGTTTCGGATTCATGGGACACTGGAACCGGCTCTGAGGGAGGTGTGACCAGTACAAACTGGACCAGTTACACCTGGGCAGGACCAAGACCGATGCCCTATAGCAAGTATTTGTCAGTGTAGTTGGGATGAATTGGGGTGGAATGACAAGGTACTGGGAACCTAAGCAGGGTAACAAGGGGAAGAGAAACAAGGACAGTAATAAACGAAGGAACAGCAGAATGCAAACAGGATAGATGGTAATCAAGGGTGAGAGGCAAATAAGGCCACAGTTAAAAGAAAAGTTAGGATGATTAAAAATGGCAATCCTAATGGCTATGCATCTTAAATCCACAAAACATTCAGAATAAGAGAGATGAACTAATGATGCAAAACAAGGTAATTGGATATGATCTCACAGCCATTACGGAGACATGGTCACAAGGAGATTAGAATGGAGAACTTAACATTCAAGGATATTGACCTTTTGGAAAAACAAGATGGAAGGTAAAGTTGGTGAGGAGCACTGTTAACAAGAGATGAAATGAGGATAGTTGTGAGAGATGATCTAGGGTCAGATAATGTATAGTCCATTTAGAAGGCGGTTAATAACAGCAAGGGAAAGAAGACATTGGTAGGAGTACTGTACAGACCCCAAACAGTAGCCACGCTGTAGGATAGGATATAAGTTAACAATAATAGGAGTATGAAAAAGGAAAGAGCAATAATTATTGGGTGATTTTAATCTTCTCATTGATTGTGTCAATCAAATTGGAAAGGATAGCTACAACAATGAATTTATTGAGTGGATAGGGATAGTTTCTCAGAGCAATATGTTATGTTTTATTTGTTCAGAGAATGTGGGCGTCACTGGCTATGCCAGCACTCATTGCGCATCCCTAATTGTCATGGAATCAACTGCGAACAGACTATCTTGGATTTGGTAATGCATAATGAGGCAGGTTTAATAAATGACCTCATTATATAGCAGAAATAGTAGGAACTGCAGATGCTGGAGAATCCGAGACAACAAGGTGCAGGGCTGGATGAACACAGCAGGCCAAGCAGCATCATAGGAGCAGAAAGGCTGATGTTTCGGGCCTAGACCCTTCTAGGCCCGAAACGTCAGCCTTTCTGCTCCAATGATGCTGCT